TAAATAGTTGATTTTCAATGCACATACAAAGTATATTACATTATTTTAAACAATGCACTGTTCTTACATGCTGACTAATTATTCACAGTCAGTATTGCACTGAGCTAACGAGAGAAACTATTTTTTTTTAGTTTTACCAGCTAAAGCCCACTGAGCTGTATAGCTCTTTTTCAGAAGAGTCTTGGCCACAAATGATAACCCAAGGAAGTGGCTTATCATGTGGAAATTTATAGCAGCCAAATACTGTAAAACACATGTAGATAAATGTGGAGGGAAAAACTGGAGGACCCCGGATAAAAATCCACATGACCACGGGGAGAACATGCAAACTCCAAATATACAGGCATCATTTTGGGTCAGGATCAAACCCACGACCTCCTGTATGTCAGGCAAGGTAGTTAGTATCTCGTTACCGCGGCGCAATCAGCACTTGTGAGTGCTTAATGTACTCCGGTCACTGGCTGGACAAACCGCTAAGTGCCATACACATGTACATTTGTATTTTGCCTGCTGGGGGCAGTTGGTGTTTTCCATTGGCTACAGGAAAGGCTGTGTGTGTTGGGCAATATTTGCGTGGGCTCAATTTTCATGGGTCCTACACCAGCACTGGAAAAAAAATGTGACCTGCACCCGTCAGCAACGCACAGATGGCTGGAATTCACAAAACAACCTCTCTTTCCAAATGCACAAAGGTTTCCCTTTTAGTCTGGAGAGACCATATGGCCGAGTGTTGCTCGTGAGCGTATATTAAGGCCAGGACAGCACACCATAGGGTGGTGTGGATGACTGTGTCCAACCGTCTTCTGTTAATGGTGCTGATGTTGACCACAGCACAAAATTATAATTTTATGCCGAGTCAACCAAAGCAAGGCCCAGACCAAGTTCAGATACCAATGGGTGCTGGTGTGCATGGCCAGAAAACAAGCCTGGGTCTCTGTGATCATAGTGGGGTGTGCAAAAAAAACGATGCCACCACTCACTGATTCCAATCACACAAACAAAGAATCTGACTCACTTTGTCAGACACACGAATATATCTAATTGCATTTGGTTTTCTTTGTTTTGTAAGGCGCACAGGGGTGCACTATGCCTCTTCATACATGACAATCAACCACGTGCATCGTATTACTTCTCAATCCAGAACAATGATTGACCAAGAGCTATGTAAACGATGCATCGATTAATATAAATTAAGCTCACAAAACTTCCAACGAATTGTGAAGGTGTGAAGCGATTATCTATGTATTTTAATTTGAACACGTAGTAAGTGGTTCACACGGACTCTGCAGACACTACATTTACATATATTTTCAGAGTATGTTTTTGTTTGCATTCTGACCACAAGTATTGTGGTTAATGCAGACATGATTCCTTGTACATAAAAGGTTTCAGTTTGGTGTTTTAACATCTTAACACCTGTTTTGTTGCCAGGAAAAAGGGGAAAACCTATTCTCATTACATTTACTTCTATATCAAAAAGAGCAACGATTATCGAACCTTAACTTGACCCAGAATTATGACAAGTGAACAGAGTACTAGCTATTCATACCATCCCCACTCTAAGTCAGTGTGTATTATTTAACCAGGTGAGAGATGATTTACGTAACGCATGTATTTGTCTTTATCAAAGAACACTTGGTAAACTCATCATCATGAACCAAAGTCTAACACTACTGGATAAGGCCTGTCCATGACATCACTCACAGTCCTGTGATACAATCCATCTCGCTGTCACCTGAACTCAAATCATCGCTCCATCTCCTTGTTGGGTGTGTTCTCCTCTTTGGGCTGCCATTCCATCACTAGTCTCGTCCATCCACCATCGTTACTTGTAGCGGTGTCCTACCTAAGCCCACCACTCACTTTTGTCAATTTATTTTCGATTTATGTTCCATGATCCATATATTCCTATTTTGGTTTCTCAGCCTCATTCTGAACACACAACTCTCCTTGTTTTAGAGTACACTTATCAGCTTTCAATCAATATTCTTTGTCGGTTTACACTTGTCGAATCTATACAGTGGTACAGAACTCCACCATGCGTGTCATTTTAACGCTGCCTTATAAGAGGCACATAAATAGTCAATTAGCAATTCAGTCAATGTCCCTTCTTCAGGTAAGACTGACTTAGAGTATTATTGCACTTTACGGTATGGTGCCTCAAAAACTTTAAATTAAGTTGACAACAAAAAACATTCTAACTAACGAATGCATCACATTATTTTTTAGTCACTATTATTTTCGGCTGTGAGCCAGACATAAAAAAGATGCTCCGGCTTACAATTGTCAGAGGGTCTGTAATGTGCACTGTGCAGCAGACTAGGCCTGCATGGCGAAGGAAAATAAACCATCCTCGAAAGGTGAATCGAACCTGTTTTGCTTCTCTGCGTGTGACCTGGCCCAGCAGTTAGGCGCGGAAAGATGAATCGTATTAAAGAAAATGACTCGGCAAGAACACACAGTGCCTGATGACCAAGGAAGGCAAAGAGGCACCCTTAAATTAACCATAATTATCAATAACGATTTCCTTTTCTGTATCCTTCCCCTGACCCAGTCTCTGCTCTCAATTTATTTCAGAATTTCCCCTGATTTATCACACACACTGCTTTCTCGGTGTGTTGCGACAGGGATGGAATTGGATGTTTTGATGAATGTGCACATGCAGGATGAGGGCCCCCCACAAGCCATGCCGATCGTGTATGCCATTTAACCATATTTCACCACGCTGGTTAGTGAGGGTTAGTATAGGTGTGGAGCATAGATGTTGGATCATGGAGTACGATAACACCAATAGAGTTTGTTTCCTGCACTACAGCCCTATAACGCCTGTAATTCATAGCTGCCGGAATCCAAGCACTATTGGGGCTCAAGCCTGCTTAGCTTCCGAGATCTGATGAATATGATGAGATCTGGTTTTAAATATGAAGTATAGTAATACTGTAATGTATAACGATTGGTAAAAACAAACACCACACGCAAACTGGCAGATCAAGGTCGCTCTGCTGATGATGGGTCGTGTTTAAGCATGATGACTCATCACGGTGGACAAGGGTCTATTCAAAAAACTAATATTTCAGCAGGTAAGGCCCACTGAGCTAGATAAATATTTTTGAGCAGTGACCTGGCTATCACAAATGATATCCCAACGAAGTGGCTTACAGTATCGTGTGGAAATGTATAGCAGCCTCTAAACCCACGTTTCTAAATGTGAAGAGAAAAACTGGAGGACCCGGAGAAAAATCCACACGACCACGGCGGGGGGAGAGATGCAAACCCACGACCTCCTGTATACAAGGCGAGGTAGTTAACAGCTCGTTTCCTCCGGTGTGACCAGCAGAGTAACGTGGTAGTGGCGTTCGTAACAACGACCCGCGGCGCTGAGAAAGCCACCTTGCAACTCAGAATCTGAATATTTCATTTAAAAAAAGGACTCACACCCCCAGCCAAATTTTCATTCAATCACGGAAGGTGTAGTGTCACTAACCCCCCCCTCCCCCCACTGAGTCTCTTGAAATTACCGGAAAAGTCACTCACTCACTCACGTGCCACCACCCATTGACTAGAACTGACAAATTGTGACGGGCCAGACTGGCGTCATAGGGGAGGTGTGTGCAATGTGTGCGTGCAAACACACACACGGAAGACAAGCTCTGAGAAATGTAATCCCATTAAAGTTCTCAGGCTTGGCACGGTAACAATACAATTTAGGAATTCGTCGATCCAGGCGACATTAACAAAACAAACACCCCACAAAGAAAACCAATTAACGAAAACAACAAAAAAGCGAACCGGTATCAACCACTCGCTCTGCCTGTTTGTAGGAAGATATTTAGTTAAGGTTTGTGTTTTTTAAAAAAAACCCATCGCTTTTAACGCGTTTGTGTTACGTGTCCGGAACGCGTTTGTCACCGTGGAAACGGCTCGCACAACAACGTCGACATTTATCGTACCATCGGTGTCTTTGGTGGAATGTAAAAGAACACGGCACCGACAATTAATTCTACCGTATACCTCGGTGGGAAATAGGTGGATTGGGTGGCTTTCTCTGCGGGGTCAGATTCTCATTAAACACGGGGGTGGGAGATTATACATTTCGCTTAGGCATGCGTTGGCCACTCAGCCAGTCTTAAGCCGGTTTATCCTTCCAGTACGGACAAAAACGTCGCTTCTTTATCCCGAAACGAACCCTAACCTTTAACCCCACGGCGCTAACCGCGTCGCCGGTCGATGCGTTTTGCGCGCAAAGCAGCGGCTCATCCATAAGCGAGCGTCGCCTCTCTGCCCCATCTCGCTCTGTGCTCTTGGTATCATGAACATAGCCACCACCAGTGGGTCCACCGATTTCCTAATGAAACATTCAATTTGAGTAAGAAGCTACAGCCGGGCTCATTTCCGTGTCTCACTTAAGTAATGAGATGACAATCACCCGCGTTGTCTCACTTAAGTAAAAAGGTAACCCTTGGTTCAATGTTACTTAAAATATAACATTACTCGTGTCTCGGTGAAGTAAGAAGATTACCCAAATTGTATCTCACTGAAGATGGTCCTAGTAATGTCTAACCGATGGAGATTACCCAAATTGTATCTCACTGAAGATGGTACTAGTAGCGTCTAACCGATGAAGATAACCCAAATTGTATCTCACCGAAGATGGTCTTAGTAGTGTGTAGCCGATGGAGATAACCCAAATTGTATCTCACTGAAGATGGTCCTAGTAGCGTCTAACCGATGAAGATAACCCAAATTGTATCTCACCGAAGATGGTCTTAGTAGCGTCTAACCGATGGAGATAACCCAAATTGTATCTCACCGAAGATGGTCATAGTAGCGTCTAACCGATGAAGATAACCCAAATTGTATCTCACTGAAGTGAATAAAATAACTATCACTCACGGTCTCGCTGAAGTAATCAGCTAAGCCCCAGCTCCAGTGTCCCACCGAAACCCGTGAGAGCCTGCCTGCATCACTGGGGCTGCCACCCCAGCCCATCCCCCACGTACCTTCATTGTTAAAGAGGCGCCAGAGTTTTGAGAAGAGGATGCCCATTGCGGCAGCAGCGGCAGCAGCAGCCGGGCAGCGGGGCCCGCGGCCCGGGCAGCGGAGGGGCGCGTCGGGAGGTCTCGCGGCGGGGGGGACGACGACGACGACGAGGGGAGGCTACAGGATGGGACACGGAGACATCGGGGACTGCGGATCTCCCACAAGACCCAGCAAGACAACGCTGGCGACACGGGCAGCAGCAGCAGCCCCACGGCAGCGAGGGAGCCGCAGGCCTCGGGCTCAAGCAGCCCTCGCCTCCGCCGTCGCTTGCCTCACGCCCCCCGGGTCCTGCGAGGCTCGCGCGAGCGGTTCCGTCTCCTGCCCCGGGCCCGTGGGCGACGGCGGAGCTCCACGGGCTGTGGACGGGATTCCCCCCTCCCCCTTCTTCTCAACGTCTCCGTCGTCGTCTTCGTCGCTCGCTGCCTCCCTCGCTCCCTGCCTCGCTCGCTCGCTCGCCTTGTGGCCCCGTCGTCTCCGACGACTCCACGTCCTCTCGGGCCGGGGGGAGGGTGGGAGAGGGGGGGGGGCTGACGGGGTCAAGAGGCGGGGCCAGGGTTTAGGGGGCGGGGCGACGTCACCGTTTCCGGGGTTACGCAGCCCCGCCTCTAGATTCACGCCCCTCGACTTCCGCTGTAAGCCACGCCCCTGTGATCACCGACTTCCGCTCCAAGCCCCTCCCCCCTCCCCCCACAACTACTAGCGCCAATCGCCGCCATTAGCCGCTAAGTGACGGCTCCCGTGCCAGGCTAGGTGCACTTTGAGGCTAGCACGTGAAGTGGTCGTCAGGAGGTCTCGGGGCAGACCCAGCAGGTGCCATGGGTTGACCGACTGAGATGACCGGTGTATGCACACCAACTGTGCCCTTCCCGTTGTGCCAACTTGCTGCGTTTTATCGCCCGGCGCTCCGCTCGTTGTTGTGAGCTTCGCTCCGCGCTCCGTTGTTGCTGGAGGGCGACTGTCTCCAACTGCTCAGTAGCAGCAGCAGCAGCGTCCTTCACGAGCCTCCTCCACAGAGGACGATCTTGATACCGCTGGTTTATCGGTCGTCGGCAAATCCACTCAGCTTCACATCCTCCCGGACCACATCAGCTCCGTCTCTTCTAGAGCCCGTGCCACTCACCCACCCACTCACCTATCAGACCATCTCTTCTCCCAGCCCGTGCCACTCACCCACCCTCTCAACCATCATCTCCATCTCTTCTCCAGCCCGTACCACTCACCCACCCTCTCAACCATCATCTCTTTTCCAGCCCGTGCCACCCACCCACCCTCTCAACCATCATCTCAATCTCTTCTCCAGCCCGTGCCACTCACCCACCCTCTCAACCATCATCTCCATCTCTTCTCCCAGCCCGTGCCACTCACCCACCCTCTCAACCATCATCTCCATCTCTTCTCCCAGCCCGTGCCACTCACCCACCCTCTCAACCATCATCTCCATCTCTTCTCCAGCCCGTTCCATTCACCCACCCACTCACCTATCAGACCATCTCTTCTCCCAGCCCGTGCCACTCACCCACCCTCTCAACCATCATCTCCATCTCTTCTCCCAGCCCTTGTCATTCACCCACCCTCTCAACCATCATCTCCATCTCTTCTCCCAGCCCGTGCCACTCACCCACCCTCTCAACCATCATCTCCATCTCTTCTCCCAGCCCGTGCCACTCACCCACCCTCTCAACCATCATCTCCATCTCTTCTCCAGCCCGTTCCATTCACCCACCCACTCACCTATCAGACCATCTCTTCTCCCAGCCCGTGCCACTCACCCACCCTCTCAACCATCATCTCCATCTCTTCTCCCAGCCCGTGCCACTCACCCACCCACTCACCTATCAGACCATCTCTTCTCCCAGCCCGTGCCACTCACCCACCCTCTCAACCATCATCTCCATCTCTTCTCCAGCCCGTACCACTCACCCACCCTCTCAACCATCATCTCTTTTCCAGCCCGTGCCACTCACCCACCCACCCTCTCAACCATCATCTCCATCTCTTTTCCAGCCCGTTAAGCCCCCCTCTATGCGGCCAAACAAGCTGCTTGACCGTGCGGCCGCTTTAATAGCTCAACGCAGCATCGCCAAATTATAGTGTTTTGTGTGTGTGGCTACGATGTTTGTCCGAATATCACGACAAGACATCAAGAGACGGCGACTCGAGATGGCTCGGGTCACGTTCTCAGAATGCACCCAGGGATCGGAAACAGCTCCAACAAAAATTGCCTCCCCCCCCCCCCCTCTACAGATTGGACACTCACCGGACAAAAGGGAACCAGAGGAAGCTGAGATCAGCTGGCAAACTACGCCGTGAATGACGCGCTTGGGTGCAGCGAGACTCAAGCTTGTTGCCAAGGACAGGAAGATACTGGATGGCAAATCATTGCGCCCTTATGTCCCATAGGGGGATGAAGAGGATTAACTGACAATGTGTGCGCGTGTGTGTGATATCACACACGCGCACACACACGATTTTATTATTGTAACCGTGAGCGTAGCGATCGATTTGAATCGATTAATCGCTGCAGCGTTCACCGCCGCCACTGCCTCCCGTGGCAACTGTCAATCAATACCCATCACGTGGATGTGTACTTGAACATTTTACGATTGGGGAATTTATAACGCGACGAATCGTGTGACTGCAGCCAAGATTTGTGGCAAAAAGGTGCCACGTGTATTAAGCATGTTTTTGTTAATTCACGATGACGCGTTATATTTATTGATCAAATTTTAAATGCATATGCCCGTAAACAAAAAAACACCCCCAGATATCATAACGCATTTGCCTGTAACATCAGACAAATCATCAGCGCTGCGTTTAATTGGCTCCACCCTGGCTGATGAGACTCAGAAAATAGAGACCGGCAAAAGGGGCATTGGAACCATTTAGAATGATCGGCTCTTCTTACCTTTGCTGGCCTGGTTTCACGCTTGACAGGGATCATCAGTCAATCAGGGCAGGTTGCTTACCGTGCACGAAACTTATCACTGGCTTCGCCCGTGTTAGATATCATCAGCACATTCGTTACAGCCAATCTTTGGCATCTCCGTTAAACATGCCCAACGTTGGCATGTGGGTGGAAACGCTGGGCCAATAGTTGTGTCATCATTTACTGGGGGGGAAGGGGTGGCTCTTACCTACATTGCATGTTGCCTTCAGTGTGCGTCAGCTAAGACTTGAGTAACGGGAAAGCACCCGAGACATTTTATAACTTCCTCTCTTAAACCTAAACATGGAAACCCCCTCGCCACGAGCGCACCTCGTCATCGTCGTCACGAGCCCCGTTCATTGCACGTCCCAACAATCGGTTACGAATGTTTGAACCGGTGCTGGGCCTCCCCTAGGTCGGCTTAGCCTCAAATTGTGCGATGTGTAAACATCGCCACTGGGGAGACAAAGGCGGCCGGACCTGGTGCTGTTGGCCACCTCATCTCCTCGTGTGCCGTGCCGGCCTTGAAATGTGCTCGCTAATAGCACTATCCCCAAAAGTCTATCAAGACTTTGTGCATAGTAAGAACATAACTCCTAACACGACCGTGATGTAATCTTGTGTAAAACACCGATATACTGTAAACATGAGGGTTATGGGGAAATGAAACGGCGCTCTGTGCATTCGTGTGTTGCCTGTCGGCAAGTCCTTTCATGTTCTGGCACCGCGGTGTTTATTTTTTCTCTTCCAAATATCACACGAACGGATCGACTCCGCGACGTGATACGTCCTCCACGTGTGAGCCCACCCCTCCGTTACCTCCCCGGTGCAGGTGAGGGCGACTCACCCCGCCGCAATGACACGTGGTGGTGGGTCAGCTCACAACGCTTCTCTCTCTTTTTAAATCCTTTATATTAAGTTCACTTGCGCGCTTACGACCGTGGAAATATTTCGGTAGTTTTTAACCCACTTCCCGTGATCCAATCGAGCTGACATTTTGCACACAGACTCGTTGTGCGTGACAATTTATTTTCGTGAATTTTTTTTCCTAAATTTTCAACATTTTAGGAATTTTTTTAAAATATTTAATTACCAATTGCTTAATGGTGGCAGGCAATCATCTGACCCATAGGTGGCAGTCATCTCTGCTGGTGGTACATGTTGTTTATTGTGACATTTCGGTCACAGTTCCTAAGATCACTGTTACATTGCTTTTATGGCTTTAATTTGGTGATTTCGAAAACTTTTTAGGTTTGGCCATGTTTGTTTGTTGTAGTACGGAGTTAGAATGATGGCTTTAATCTAAGTTGTCTTGTGGTTGTTGTTGTTTGACTTGCAACCCACTGGGATTTTTGCACACAGCGTTGGTGTACGGTGCTATTTTTCTGGAAGACTTTGCAGTTTTTTCCTGGATTTTTCTGTTTGCACGCAGTCACTTTAAGATGTTTTCTTGTTCATGTTTTTTGTTTGTTGTGGTTGCACCCGATTCAAGAGTCGATTGGCTCACAGGGCTACACCAAATAAATGAAACTGAAAACTGAAAATGCAACGTTCTCCTCCGGTCTCCTCCACACCTGCTGATGATTCACACATCGCGCGCGATAGACGCTACCTCACTTCTCGTGTGTGTGCAGGACATGCCTGAAGGCGCCTCGTAGAGCGGCCACACTAACGCAGCAACGCCCCACAAAAAGCAAAACTCATCTATAAACTACTTTTTGTTTCCACCAGGTATGGCCCACTGAACTGCACAGATTTTTTTTCAGAAGCGACCTGACTGTCACAAATGATAGCTCGTCGAGGCGGCTTATTATCGTGTGGAAATTGATACAGCAGCCAGAAACTCGATGCACGCATGATTATAAGTGGTGGAGGGAAAAAGCCGGAGGACCCGGAGATAAATCCACACGACCACGGGGAGATAGACACTGCAAACTACTAAAACACAGGCCTGAGGGTTAGGGTCGAACCCAGGACCTCCTGTATACCAGGCGAGGTAGTTAACATCTCGCCACGTGCTCATATTAAACTGGAATTTGATACTGTATAAACCTCATGCCCCGTTTTTAACTGAAGCTCTCATGATCCAAATGTTTGTTGTCCTGGATTTAATTTTGTGTTTTTATTATGTATATATTTTGATGTTTGCATTTTAAACTTCTTTCGCACCGTACGTAGTCAACTGTGCTAATCGGAGATCCGAAAAAAATCAGCGTGTATAAATTATATAATTATGATACAGGGTGATCTGTTTATAAGGTACCCATTGATAACATGTTTTGGAAAACATGGCAAGATTTGCAACCCACTCATACTCAATAATTACAGTGAAACCACAATTGTCTCTAAATTGTGGAACTATAGTGATGCAAATTACAATTATAGTCTATATACACACAATGCACACAACACGCTTATTAATGCAATCATTTTTTTAATTCTTGTTTTGTTTTCTCTGTACCACAACCATGCAGCTGGCATGCTTACATTTTTTGTTTTCAAATGTATCCATTGTTTTTTTGTTACATTTTCTCCCCCAACATTTTTATTCAACGCTTTTTTTTTAAATAAAAGAATAAAATTCATCGTCAAATCTGAAACAATCTGCTCAATGATATGGATTCATCACGTAGTAATAATCATCATAATAGTAATCATAGTAATGCATGGGGCATTATAAACACACGTGAGATGGGAGCAATCTTAGCGTGCTGTGAAATCCACCCCGATGATAATGTGAACGCGGTCACGCATACGGCTCTCCTTAAGGCAGGTTCTCGCTGTAGCCAATGTACGGAGGCCGGATATGTGGAGGCTCGCGGTGTCTAAGCTACAGGACACAGTGCTGTCTGTTAACATAAATCCAAAGTCTGCACGCCAGGGCTGCAAGAGAAGTCGTGTAAAAAAAAAATGTGTGTGTGTCGTATTTCCTTACATTCACTCTTCAGCTGCACGTAAACTAGCCGTTGCCCAGTGCGGAGTAAAATCACAAATAAATAAATTGGGCATAGAGAAATTAAACCCGGAGCAGACAGCACTGTCTCCTTGGACCGCACCGCGAGATTCAACGTCACGGTTTGTCGTGTCGCGTTCGGCGCAAACCCAATTGAGATGATACGAGAAAATATCAGGGCATCACTTCATTCTTGCTGAATACCAAGCCGTGCCTTCAATTTGTTTCCGATCAATGAGATGGTGATGATAACAATGTAGTGTGTTTGGCCAATTCTTTCATAACAAAAATGTACGGTGGAAGAAACAGGAAAAAAAACTGATTTAAGGTGGAGCTAACACCACCGTTGCTCTACTGCATTTTCCACTTTGGGATTAGTGCTGTGGGCAGACCGCAGCCAAAACGTAGCATCTGCGACTGACACAGGTGCCACAGGTGACAACGGTGCCACAGATGGCACCGGTGACGTAGGTGCGCAAATCTCCTCCTCCGACTGCAAAACGATAACTACGCGTTTTAAAATCAGAATATTTATAACTGGAGGAATCCGATTAGCTACAAAGCTCTTTTTGTCACCGATGTCCATTTAACGTGCACTACACAGCAGGCGGCATACGCTACCGATGACAACGGGGACACGTGTTGGTAATGCCACTCGTACCACGGGCAATGGTGGATGTCAAAAAAGATATTACCCAATGGCTTGGTAATGGGAAACAAAAGTGTTCACCGGCGAGCCAAACAGCCTAGGCTCACCCTGCCCAGTGTGAACCTGCCTTAATGAACGCGGCCCTTCGTTAGCCGTACGTGAGAGGGGGGGGGGGGGGTGCGTTGGGAAGGTGGATGGGGGGGGAGCATTGAGACGGCGTTCGCATTGTGCAAGACAGAAAAAAAAGCATGTGATAATCTGCAAAAAGAGGTAACCATGCTTTAAATATACAGTACAGTACTGTCGTTAAAATATCGAAGAACTCCTCTAAAACCAGCCACTCCTTTCATCATCGTCCGATTGACAAATCTCAACGCGCGACTCGTGTCTGATATGTGGAGAGTGCAAACACAACATCACTCTTTACTTCATGTATCACCCTCGCCCCCCCCCTTCCCCCCCCCCCCGCGTTTTAAAATGAGTGATTGTTTTCTTTAAATTATTACCATCATTTTTTAAATAATCAATATATATGTCGTATTTATAATTGTCATGTAAAAGTTAAAATGTCACTTGTTACTTCCAAATGACATCCCGTTTCGAGTGGCCTCTACTGTCCTTTTAAATCCTGTATCCACTTGGTGCTATAGACGAAGACGGATGTTTTCATGCATAAATAAAACCGTATCGGCTTCAAACAAAATAACGTGTCCCTCTGACCCAGGCGTCCCAACCGCGCCAGCCCGCGCGACACACGGTGCAGGCGAAGACTTCACCCCCTTCAAAACGAGGTGCGGGCAAGACCAAAACGCGTTTCACAGGTGCCCACCTTTCGCTCTTCGCCCGAGCGAAATTCACGCGACAAGAAGCCCCTCCCCCCTCCCGAGATCCTGACCCAAAAACCCTGACCCTGAACCAGACCCGAACCCAGCCGCAGACCTCCCTGGCCCCGGTCAGGGTTGGGGTATTCCCGGATTCACAAACTCCGAGGGAAAACATCGTGGCCGCGTGGAGGTGTGTGCACGGCAGCACGTCGGAGCGTGTTCAGTTTACACTGGGGGCGAACTGAAGGATGTTTTCAGGCTCTCCTGAGAAATGACGGTGGCAGCGCCGCGATGTGTGCTGAACTTCTTTTGCACCGTACGTAGCCAGCCGTGCTGATCGGAGGTGCGATTATTTGAGACGGCCCGGTGCAGTAGTGCTGCGAATCGGGCTTGGAGCCGGAAATTGTTCATGAATAGCTCGGCGCTTAACGAAGATGGCCTCTGTGCCTAAGGAGTTGGCTGCTGTGGCAAGACGCTTGGCATCTACGCATAAAAAAATTGGTGTTCATGCACAATAGTTGGCCTCTGTGTGTAACTCGGTACTTTGATGCACGACGCGTAAAAGGCCTGCCTTCCACGCAATTCCATTTTCCACACCGTTTGTAACCCAGTCGTGTCGCAACATTAAAGTCACGTGAATGAAAAATTATTCCAAAAAATGTCTTGGCTGGAGGATAGAATGAAACATTTATTTAAACACTGCGCAGGTTTATGCGATATATAAACACGCACAAACACAAAACTATAAATAATGAAAACAAAACTTGGCCAGAGAATGATCTCCAAGAGGTTCAAATGCGTTTAGAGTATTTGGCTGCGATAAATTTCCACGCAATAAGCCACTTTCGTTGAGTTATCATTTCTGGCCAGGTCGCTTCTGAAAAAGAGCTATGGAGCTCAGTGAGCCCTACCTGGTAAAATGAAAAAAAAAACAGTTTAGTTTTATAGCTTGGCATTCAATCACCGTGTGCGCGAGGCTTCCGACGGACTTCCACTTGCGTTGAGCACAAAGAGGACCGGCGGACGTGCGAATGAGGAGTGCTGCGGGAGGTGAGAGGCCTGGAGTGCGGGGAGCCCCCTGCGTTAAGGTGGCTGAAGTTGAGAGGGAGCGTGCGTGTGAAGGCGACGGCCGTGCCGTCACAGAGCAGCCGTTTGCCAAACTCCAGCCACACTCCGACTCTCATTCTTCCCCATCGCCGAGAGCGTCCACCAATCATTGTGAACTTGTGCGACCGTGTGCCATTGCGACTGGATTCGATTGGGAAACGCAAAGCGATGGGGGAGGGGGCAGTGGGGGGGGGGAGGTTGTTGGCACGGTGGTTTGTGAAGCCCTGCTGTAGGGGATAGATAGCGACGGAGGAGCTGAGTGGGAGGAGATGGCTGGATGTGAATGACTTCGAAGTAGACGCCACCACCGTCACCGCCAGCAACACCACCACCACCACCACCAATAAACCACATTCGTCGAGGCCTGCATGTAAGAAAACGAGATCGGATTCCACGCACGAGGCTCAATACAAAATCTGATTTCACGTGGCCAGAAGTAACTTCCTCTCGGGCTCCGTGGCGTCGCCAAGCTTCACGGTCAAACGCTGCGCTCCACCGCGACACACTGGCCTCATCATCTCGCGGATCGCTGGCGCTCAGCGGCGCACACAGGAGTCAGGATGACAGTGGTGACGGGGGCTGCCCGGGGTCCGGATTGGCGGGGTGGTGGCCGGGGTCTCCCCGCGTGGTCTCCTGTCGGCTCCGACCACCACCCCAGCCCCGACCGCGACCGCGACTCATCCCCTCCGATAGCTGCCGAAACCGAGCACCGCCGTCTCCTAGGTCTCTGCGCCGCGTCAGGGCCGCACGTACAGCTGCTGCGACCACGCGGCCTCGGCCGAGTCCCCACGCCCGCCCTTCACCATGATGTCCGCTCCCTCCGTCTCGTAGTAGCTGGATTCCCGCGAGCGGTGGAGTCGCACCTGCTGCCCCGAACCGCCACCGCTAACGGCGCCACCGCCGCCGCCGCCGCCGCCTCCCGTTCCTCCCGCACCGCCGCTCCTCTGGCGGTTGCGCTCGTTGTGATCCAGCTCTCGTGCGCGCTCCCGCTCCCAGGATCCTCGCGCTCCGGGGCCTCCGCCCTGATCCTGCTCGTGATGCTGCTGCTGCTGGTGCTGGTGGTGGTGTTGGTGCATCCGGATATCGTTGCCCACCGTGCCGGGTGAAGCGCAGCCATCCTGCGGTGGAGACGCGTCACCGGGGTAACCACGTTCCCTGCTCCTCCGTCGCTGCTGATGCTGCTGCTGCTCAGGGTATTCGTCATCCGCCTGCTCCTCCGTGTAGGCCGAGTCTCGGCTCTCCTGCGTCTCCGAGTCGAAGGTGTCTTGCCGGGCGAGTCCTCCCGAGCGACCGCCGCTCCACCGGCGGACGAGCGGCTGGCGCGACGAGGACGACGACGGTGTCGTCGGGGAGTGCCTCTGCTGCTGCTGCTGCTGTTGCTGCAGGTGCTGCTGCTGTTGCTGCTGCTGCTGTTGCTGCTGCTGTTGATGCTGCTGCTGTTGGTTGTTGTATGAGCGGCGGGATGGGTCCATGCCGGGCGGGGGGGTTCCTAGTTCGCTGTGGTGTTGGAGGTGAGTGGTGCTCCCTCCCTGGTGTTGTGTGCGCGCGTTTGTGTGTGTTTGTACGTGTGTGCATTTTTTGGTTTACCACGTGGGTGTATATACGTTGGACACAGGCGTGTGTGATACGTGCGACGTACGTGTGCGTTGGTATATGTTCGTACGTGTGTACATACGTGTGTTTGCGTGCGTGCAAGTGTATGTGCGCGTGTTACATGTGCGTATCCGTGTGTAAAGTCGTGCGCGCGTGTGTGCGTATTAGCATGCATATGTGTGTGCGTGCGTGGGATGGAAGGGAAGGCAGCCATGCACAGCAACAAGACCACGTGACAGCACGCACGAAACCCACACACCAAAGCGGGAGGGAACGATCAAGAAGCAGCCAAAGCAAAACGACGAAGACAAATTACGTCGAGAAAATCACACGAACGGACACTTACACACACACACGTGAGTTAGCAGGAGTGTGAGATTGAGCAGGGGGAAGCGGGGTGTGAGACACAGCGTGCGCGCACACACACACACAGTGCAACGCACGCACACGCACACACGGTTAGTACGGAGCAATTGGAGGCGCCCTCACGCTTGTCGTTAAAACAAAACACACGCCGCGATCGTCGTTAGGAACCGCATCACAACCGAGAAGTATGTAACATGCTGACGTTTCGGGCAGTGGTCCTTCTTCAGGATAAGAGACAGACCAGACAGATTTGACTGGATTATAGTTCTCTCTGCTGAATTTATGTGAAAGGCAATGCCAATTATTTAGTTGGTGAAGCCTCAGGGCTCTCCTGCCTCAGGATGCTAGGCCAATTGTACGAGTTTGGCTTCACGCACGAGGATACTGCAGCGCCCGGAGAAAACCACACCACACACGCACGGAGGGAGGCACCACTCAGAACTCGTATATCCTGTCCAACCCTCGCAGCCCCACGCCAACAACACCTGGCAAGCCCTGGTGGCAGCCACCCACCCCAGCACTTAACTAGGCTCAAGCCCACTTGGCTTCAGATATTGGGTGCATCTGGCATGAATTGGCCAAAGGCGTCTTGCTGCGGTGGCAAGATGTTAACTACCTCACCTGGTATGCAGGAGGTCGTGGGTTCAATCCCGACACTGATACGTGTTCTCCCCGTGGTCACGTGGATTTTTCTCCGTATCCTCTGGTTTTTCCCTCCACATTTTGAAACATGCTTTTTAATTATTTGGCTGCTGTAATACATTTCCACGTGATAAGGCACTTCGTTGAACTAACATTTGTGGCCAGATCGGTAAAAAAAAGAGCTATACAGCTCAATGGGCCTTACCTGGTAAAAATACAAATTGTTTAAAATAGTTTATAGTCTCTACTCTGAAGTTGGGCCACTACCCACAACGTTAACCTGTTGCGTATTTTTTACGAGGCAAACGCAGTCGGAGTTAATGACAAATGCAGTTGGTTAAAACACACGATGTAAGGTGGCCCACGGGACGAAAGTGATAGTCGACCTGAGAACACGGCACCACAACATCTGGGAATCTTCAGATAAGTTGGGTTGTTTTGTTGGTCGCTAAACAATAGTGTTTAATCAGAATGTTGTATTTCTTTTATGGCCAACCGGAATCCTAAGACTAACGATAACCATAGCACCAAGCATAATGACAACGCTACCATTAGTCCATACCCTAACCACAACCACAAACCTAATCCTTACCATAACTATTGACGTATATTTGTATGTCATTGTTTGTCTATCGTGCGTATCCGATGCTCTGTATGAAAGTCACGTGTAAAAGCATTCACTAAATAAAATCATCACCACAACCAGATGCCTAACCCTAACCCTAGCCACAACTCTGCAACTAATGCTAACCCGGTTGATAATTCACAACCATGTCAATCAACACCACCCCGAACACAGCCCTAACTACTTCGCTAACGCTAACCACTAATCCTCAACACAACTCTGTAATGAATTCCTAATTCGAATCACAATTCTATCCCTAAACCCTAACCAACGATGATTAGCCTCAAACCTAACACGGTGGTGGCCACTTACATACATAAAAACAATTCCTCTTTTCGGTTATCGTTCAGGTATGGTGAGCGGTAGGACTAAGGTTCAGACAGGGTGAGATCTTTTGCTTTTGTGATAGCTAACGGTTGGGTTAGGGCTCAGATTGCAGTAAAGGAACCAGAAATGATTCGACAATAAATGCCCGCTTAAAACACAACTAAGAGTCGTAATTCACTCGGGGGTGCTGTGAGGAATTCTCAGGTTTGACATTTGTCTGTTCGTGAGCGCGAGCACAGAGATCGAGGCCACGTCTCCGGCTCTGAGGTGACGTCGCTTACACCGCCAATCACGTGGCACTTCACACGCACAGAATTGGTGCCCAGTTACAGCACTTGCCCCAAAAGTCTGTTACAGGCTATACCGGGGATCTTTGTCTTTGTTTCGTTGTGCTGCTATGAAATTGCTACGGGTTACATTAAAAGTAAAAAAAAAGTTTATTCTGTCGCCAACAAGAAAACATGTGTCTAGGATATAGGTGAGCCCTCTGGGTGACAGAATAGAAATGGAATTTAATGTCCTTCACTTCGCAAGTGCATTTATTGTGGGAAACGACTGAAGCGCGAACAACGTCATTCACTAACACGCCGATGCGTGACACCTGTAACTGCAGCTGCCGTAAGAGACGAGAGAAAGCACAACGTAGAACGCTTCTCAATGCTGTCGTGAGAACACATTCGTCTCCGTGGAGGGGGCACGGGCAATAGGCATCAGTGAAAAAGAGCTTCATAGCTCATCGGATTTCTGCGACGAAATATCAGGAATGCTGTATGATTAGCTAATCATACAGCATATAACTACAAAAAAAATAGATTTAGCCTGAACAGACTGTTGGGGCAAGTGCTGTAAGCGAACAGCTATGAAGGCCATCACGACACACCAGGGGGTGGGTGGCCAACACCATGTCCGGCTGCCTTTGTCTCCCTCGTGGTATTGCACCAGGTACTAATTTGAAAATGTTGAGTCGACCTAGAGAAGGAGGCCCTGGACTATTTCAGATATATACGTCACTATTGGCTGTGAGAGGGAATCGAACTTGGGTCGCCAGGTTTGTAGTGCGGTGCACGAGCCACTACACTACCGCACTCAAAGACAAAGATTCCCCTATAGCCTTTAACAGACTATAGGGGCAAGCGCTGTTTGTGAGTAACACCTATGAAGGCCGGCACAGCACACAAGGGGGTGGGTGGCCAACACCACGCCCAGCCGCCTTTATCTCCCAAGTGGCGATGTTGACTACACACTGCACCAGGTACTCATTTGAGACTAAGTCGACCTGCACGTGGGTCACAACACCTTAATCGCCTCACTCACACAACACTTCCCTCACCTCCTTGCGAGCCTGCTCACACTTGCCTCATTGCCACAAAGTTTTTTGTAGTGGACCGCCACGGGGTTATTTCCACAGGCCACAGCGGGTTCGCAGAGCTAGAGCAAAGCAAACCTCTCCGAGACCCAGGCCGGGCTGCGATTTTACGTTTTGAGGATTCATCTCGGCCAAAGTTTATATCTAGACTGGCATTAAACTTAGCGCAAAAACATGAGGCAATAATTTCGCCACACTATTTTTGTTTTGTTTGTAGCGCCGTACAACGCACGGGTTACGGAGCAGTCCGGGGTCTCGTGTCTAAATGCTGACGTCACAGGGCACGTCATGGCTGGGCCTGTTTCAGGATCTAGAACGTGGCAAGACGACGACAAAAATCTAACTCTGAGAAGAGAATTGTGGGAAGGAGGCCAACGGAGGCTGTTAGCGAACACTGCGGGTTACACGTCGGTGACCGTGCTTTGTGCGTCGGTGTTTGGTCGATCTGGCTCGGGGGGGGGGGGGGGGGGGGGTGGGTGTTGTGGTCACACGTGCAGCAGCCGGTCGCTCGAGTGAGGTGGCCACAGAGGGCGGTTCGTGGGGAGAACGGGCGGGCTTGCACCGAAACACAAGTCGCCACCGTCGGTGGCTGAGGGACTCGCCGTCACCGCAGTGTCAATGTAGCGCACAGCCAGATCACGCATTCGCCAATTCCTGACTCGGGTCCTTATGGGCACTGCGGTGGCATCAGCAGTAGCGTCACGATCATCATCATAATTCCCAATTTGTTAAAAAATCATTAATTATCGTCATCATTAACAGCAGCAGCAGGCTGTGATTGTGGCAGCCGGAGGCCGGAGGAACCACTGCTCCGCCCCCTCATCTCACAAGCAGCGGCTCGCCAACTCCCCGTGACCGCCCCACGGGAGGTCGGCGCGTGTCGGGTTTGACGTGATGGTGGGTGCCGTGGGGTGCCACGTGTACTGTCTGCGAGCCCTATACCCCCCCTTGGGCCACTGCCCCCCACCCAACTCCGGACCCTCCGGCAGGCACGGACGCACGAGTCGCTTGGTTTGGCAGTCGACGGCAGTCAGCGGCAGCGTAAGAAGAAAAAAAAAACGGCCCAACCGCTCAGCGAGGGGACGGTGAGAGAGAGAGAGGGGGGACCACGGACGGCCGCTCTCAGTAAACGACCTCCTGCAGCTCCTGCTGCTCCATCTCGGCCTCATTGGCGAGGCAGGCCCTCTCGCGGTCGTCCTGCCGCCTGTAGGCCCAGGTGGAGCCCCTGCAATCCACGGCGCCGGCGCCGGACGACGAGGGCCCCGAGCCGCCGCCTCCTCCGGCGCGCATGCTCAGGTTCCGCTTGAGCGAGGTGAGCACCTGTACCTGCAGGTTGGAGATGGGCGACGGGTTGGGCAGCGCCGTGTTGCCGATGGTCCTCTCGAGCAGCGGGTTGGGTGGGTTGGCGCTGGGCGGGTGCGTGGCGCGCCAGTACGCCTCCAGGTACTCGGAGAGGTGCTCGCACGCGTCCTCCAGCTGGTTCTCGTCCAGGATCACGTCGAACAGCTCCTGCGGGCGATGAGCGGGGAGCCGTGAGCGGGGAGCAAAGGCCGCCGTTACACGACGGCGCTTTCACGGAAACCGTCACCGGCAGCCGTCACCTGATGGCAACGTGGTGTTAACACTCACGCCTCACAGCCACGAGGGCCTGGGTTCTATTCCCGACTCAGGGCGCCTTTCCGCGTGGAGTCTAGACTATACGTTGTCCCCCTGTTCTACGTGTTTTTCCTCGGGTTCTAGAAATTAACTACAAATTTTTCACACAGCGACCATCGCACGCCCCTTATGACAGACTAATGCGCAGGTGCCGAGTCACCATCTGCCACACAGGGACAGCTGCGAATAGAGGGCTCAGCGAATGCGAGACGAACTCGGTTCACTGCCATCGGCGACGCATTTACCGTGACCGACTATGGTAACTTGGTGCGCCAATGGCCCCGACGAGGGGTCGGCAACCTGCCCTTTCAGCACTGCTTCGTCACATCATTCACATTGCATTGCAGCTCTTGAAATATTGAGGACTTTAATGTTTTTACCGAATTCGAAACAACGTGCATTTAGAGTGTTTGGTTGCTATACGTTTCCACTCGATAAGCCACTTTATTGAGCTATCATTTGTGATAGCCAGCTCGCTTCTGAAAAAGAGCGTGAAAACTGAGCGGGCCTTACCTGGTAACGGAACGTAAAAAGTTTAGTTTAAATAGGTTAGTTTTAAACGACATTCAAGTGCTCCAACTGAGCTGGGTGGGAGGGAAAGGGGGAGGGGCAGGGGGAGGAGGGGCAGGGGGGGCTCATAATGGCCGTGACGAAGAACTCCGTGGGTGAGCAGAGGTGTCCGTACAGGAGGACACTGCAGGAGCTTGTCGGCTGCCACCATCTGCACGTTGAGGTGTTTGCTCTGAGACTTCCCACGAGACTTGATGAGCCGTTGCAGCACCTGGGGTCACACACAAAACAAAAGGTACCCCCCGTATAGCCTTTAATAGGCTGTTGGGGCAAGTGTTGTTATAGAGCACCACCTGCCAGAGGCCGGCACTAGCAGAACCACGTACCCCTTTGTCTCTCCAGTACCGATGTTCACACACCACATTAGGCACGCATTTAAGGCTGAGTCGACCTAGGGGAGGCCCACGAGCGGTTCGGATCATCCCCCACCGCTGATGTCAACTGTGGCCGAGAGTCAAACGCAGCTTGTCGGGTTCGTAGCGCAGTGTGTAAACCACCATAAGACCGCTCCCCACTTCTCTATGAACACACACACATGCATTCTGTCTCTCTCCTCTCTTTCTCACAACAGTGACAGACTGGGACAAAAAATCGGCCCAGGCATTTGTAAACACAGTGGCGCAAAATTTCCGTGCGATCTGATTAGTCCATTTGGGCTGGTCCAAAAAACAAATGGGCCAGTGACGAAGAATCTTTGGGGCTGCTGAATATGGGACTGAATGCAAACTGAGAGTGTAAATAAGCAATCAAGTGAACACATTAGAGGTAATACAATATTTGTACTAAATATTTTTTTATCCCACACAGACTGGCCCACCGGCCCTCGGAATGGACCGGCCCACCGGGCATTTACCCGAGGGCCGCTGCCCTATGGACACGCGCACACTCGCGGTGTCTCTCTGTGCACGTCCACCATGTGCGATTCCCCTGGCTGTGTGTTTCATCTGACACTAGAGGTCATGACCTGGGATTCATTTCTCGCTGGATATTTTCCGGGTCGCTGGTGGACTGGTGTAGGTGGCACGTGACCAGTGGTAGCCACAGGCATACCGAGAAGTATACTAGATGTGGTGCGGTGCAAACATATTTTCCGGGTCACTGACCCGGAGAGACACGGCTGACATTAAGCCCTGGGGGCCTGAGTACAGAAACAATAAAGCATTGTAAAGTTAGGAGGGAAAGTATGGGTGGTTGGGACCACTTAGTTACTCACGTCGATGCGTTAAAATAAAACTAAAGCAACCGCTAAGGAAAAAAACGCAATGTGAATAACATTAATGGTATTACTAGAAGTAATGTCGAATACAAACATAAACATTTACCTCAGCCACAGGCCGGCCGAAGCACAAGGAACGATGGGCATCACGGCGGCCATGTTGCGGGTGTGACCTCATGGCAGCCATTTTGCACGGAGTCGTCAGCTGATTGGCAGAAGCAGTGGGCGTGGCTGCGTCACATCTGGCAACCACTGAAACGTTCACTGCACCCGAATTGCCTCAGAATTGTTCTACTTTTTCTTCCTCTTAATGCACATCGGGCATCTTACGATCGCAGCCTGCCAGGATTTTACGAGTATTTTCTTTACTCGGGGTCCTGGTAGTGATCCTCCATGTGGTGCCGGCATGATGGACGAACTGCTGAGCTCACCTTGGGCGAGGCAACCTTCACGTAGACGATGATGGGGGCGAGCGAGGTTTTGCCGAGCTGCGTCGGGTGGTTGATGGTGTCGGCATCGAGCACCACGAGCTGCAGCGTCCGCGCCAGCTCGAAGATTCGCTCGATCTCGCTCTGCACCTCCGCTGGAACCGCCGGTGCGCCGGGGGGCGCGCGAGCAGAGGCACGGGCGGGCAGGCGGGCGGGCGGGCGGGCGGGCGGGCGGGCGGACGGCCGCACACGCACGCGGGGCACAGATACGTACGGACGCAGGGGGGACACGTGTGCGGGCACAGGGACACGCGCGCACACAAGCACGGGCACACGCGTACAGACGTAGGCACACGTACAAAGGCGCACGCACGCATACATAGGACAGCACACGCGTAAACACAGACACCAAGATGTGGGCACACACGTACAGACGCAAATTCACACGAGTACAGACACGGGCACAGATAAAGGCACGCACATATGGACACAGGCACACAGATGCAGACACAAGCAGACACAGACGTAGACACAGGCACACACAGACGCAGACACGCACACACATACAGACACAACCCCACACAGATACACACACAGGAATGTTGGCACACGCATACATGCACAAGGACACACGTGGAGACACAGCCATACAGACACACACACACACAGGTACACACAAGCGAACAGGCACAGATTCTCAAACACACACAGAGGAACACACACGGACACACACAGACGGCAGTGTACACATGCAGCTGCGGTTAGAACTGAGGACTGAGGAAACCCCAGATGCGTGCACGTGATCGCGGTGAGACATGCAGGTATGGCGGGGGCGGTGGGAGCGATGGTCAGACTGTGTCAGAGGTGAGACACCAAACGTGAGAAACCCTCACACGCATGTGACACGCATGTGACACGCACACTGCAAATTCCCATAAACACGACACAGCGTGGGTCCGTTGTATTGCTGGGCCTCTGTTATTGAGAAGTAGGAGACATAACTTAATTGAAAAAGATGTTTCTTTATAATATTATTTTTAATTTAAGTACCTTACGATTTTCCAAAATGGATTTATTTGCTCCTTTAACGAGCACTACTGGCACCGTCAGCTGTGACTTACCGGCCGATTTCACAGCTACGTCCCGATTGTGCCCGACTGTAAGGGTCTACAATAGCATGGAATCCCACTGCATGGAGGGCTTAAAGTGCCACCCTAAATGCACTTGACAGTCAAGTCACTGCCGATTGGTTCCGAATGCTGTGTGTGTCGGTAATGAAGGGTGACCATACATCACCGTGATAGTCAGTGCTGCTTCGTGAAGGGGGGTGGGGTATCCATAACCGGTTTAGATATCACTCTTCACTGGTCTCAGCCACAGCCACGAATAAAACTCACTACTACTGGGTTCGTAGTGCAGTGAGGTACCGACCACTATGCCACTCCCCCCACCCATTGAAATTTGTATTCTGTTTGCAAGTGGGCTACATTTATTTTCAACGGGTATATATATATATATACATGCATATATATTTAAACCTATTGATTTTTCCCAACAGCATCTAATCGAATTGCGTGAAAGATGATTCAAACAAAAAGGGTGAACTTCAAGCCCAGTATTTTGTATTGTTATTGTATCTGTGTGAACAATGGGAAGGCATCTCTGACGCTTGGCAGACGAGGCCCTGGCGCAGAGCGCTCCAGCTTCATCGTCGTCTAATTTAGCCAGCAGAGAGCCCGTTGAGATTTACTGTGTATTGATTGGCATGCCTTATTTAGCCGCGTGAGAATCCCGTCGCGATTCATTGTCTCTTGCTATCGACGCACTTTATTTGACCAGGTAAGAGGCTCAGTGGGATTCATCAACATGTTCGTTAGCATAATTTACTTAATCAGGTGTGAGCCCATTGACATTTGTGAACTCTCGATTAACATACTATATTTAACAACGCGAACGCTCATGGAAATGCATTGGCCTGTAAGTGGCGTCCTTTATTTAATTGTGTAAGACCTCATTAACATTGTCATTATGATTGATAATCCTTTATTTAACCAGAGGAAAGCCATATTCGATTCATGGTCTGTTGATAGGCCCTGTTTATCTAACCCGTTGAAAGAAACCTGCTGAGATCCACGCGAGGTTTCACATGCAAATCAGTTCCATTCCGGGAGTTGGACCAAGGCCGCAGTCTTAAGAATGATTCGTCATATTATTCCACAGGGTCTTTAAGCCCCCACTTTAGAGCAGACGGTGGTGGGCTGTGGTGATTCCTCCGCAGTAATCACCAGAAGGCTGCGATTGGGGAATTGAAGCGTGGACTCTGTGGAAGCTGCACGTGCGTGCAAGCGCAGCGAGCCGAGATTAAGGGTGCTTTAACAAACAGATCAATTTAACATCACCGATTGAAACGGAGACGAGAGTGAGACGCAGCGAGAGATACAGAGTGAGAGATAGTGGGAGTGCAGGACATGGTTGGGAAGGCTCCTTGCAGAGACAGCAGGGGGTGCTGAAAGGACAGCTCCCACAGAGACACCAGACACATACACACAGACACAAGCTGACCAGTGGCGATTCTATCGGTAGGTCTGGGGGTCCTGTGTCCACCCCCCATGCCCCCCCCCTAATGAACAAGAGTGCCTCTCTGCCTCCTCGTGTGGCCTATGGTGTACATCCCATCGTTTCTGTACGGTATCTCCAAATACCGTTGCATTTAGACGCTGCTATCATTGTCGTCAACGGCCACGGGCATTCTTCTGCTGGATAAAGGACCCCCCCCGCCCCCCCCCCCCCCCCCCACCAAATGTGTCGCCATCTCTCACGTTCTCTCGCGATGCAACATTACATCCAGGTCCTGCACACGAACTCATTTAATTGCTCCATCTCCGTGGTCGACATACACTCTCTATCAAGCGTGCTCCCTGCTTTGGCTGCCAAACTCTGCTATGAATCAGCAACTGCTTCCAAAACATGCTCACTGGAGAGATGGCGAGGAAGGGAGACTCACGCACAAACTAAAGCAGTTACCAGGGTCTCCCAATGCCGTTGATACCACTATACACTGAGTCATCACTTCCTTCCTCATGTCCACTGTAGTAGTTGTGCAGGCGACACCTTGTGACCTCGTGGTTCTGCTCCTACAGTCCCATCGCACTCGCGGAGTTTTGCAATAATAATATAACAATAATAATATTTTATCATCATTATTATTATTATTCCCTCGTAAAAAAATGTTCAGGTGGGTCCTGCCATGTGTTCTCAGTAGGGTGCCCCACCCCCTCAGGTGCCCCACCTCCCATTATTCCCAGGTTTTCTGCACCCTTAGAATCGCCACTGACACGCACGAAGGTCGGAGACGACGCACGCACGCACGCACTCGGACACGAGGATGGGGAAACGCACATCCACGCGTACATGCAAGAACAAATGTCCCCCGTGTAGCCCACGCAGGCTGTGGGAGAAAGTGCTGTTAGCGCAGCACTCGTTAAGGTCGGCACGGCGCACAAGAGGGTGGGTGATGTGGCCAGCGCCAAGCCCAAAGGCGTCACCGGCGCTGATGTTTACACAGAAACAGGTACTCATTTAAGGCTGAGTCGACTCAAGGGAGGCCTAAGTATCGAGTCGGATATATGACCTTTCGTTAATCCACTGCTGGATGAAAGCCTTCCAGGTTTGTTGAAGGGAGAAAGGGTTCTGATGATCCCTCGTCACTGATGTAAACCATGGCCGGGAATCGAACTCGGTTCGTTGTGTTTTGTAGCTCATTGCGTTAACCACTGCACCACTTCCCCAGTAAACATGGAACGTTGGGCCAACGTCGGCCTTACGGTTCCGACCAGATTGGCTCAAGATTGGAGTGCTTACTAGGGTCCATCACCACACCGGGGATGGGCAGACCGTGAGTGCACAGACAGCACAAGTCAAAAAGAGTTAGACGCGAGACGATAAATTAGTCACCACAACTGAAATTGCTGACGTGCAATGTAGCCACACGGGTTATTGAACACGTGACTAGACTGTGACGGTTACACTCGGCTTTGTGACGTACTACTCGGCACGTGACCGTGCCACCGATTCCCAAAATCGATTCTTATGCATCGAATCGTGCGCGCATAAGAAAAGATTTGCCTGCAATTTGTGCGTTAATCGCTCACGTCGCATGCGATTAGTCCACGTAAAACACCCTGCAGCCACTAGAGGCGCTATCCTCTTCTTGCGAATGGCAGCAATACGGCTCGGGAGCTGAATGCCAATGTCGTGGTCTGCCGGCTACGACGAAGAGGGCATAAGGAGAGAATTTGTGTGGCTTTGCTGTTCCTCCTCCTTCATCGAAGAAGCGCGGACTACAGTGCTTTACTGCAGGTGCTAAAAAGAAAACTCAATTCTTGAGAACTGATTTTTGTGTTCAGTTTGTTGTCCTTCCCCAGCACCTCCGATTCGCAAGGTTGGCTACGTATGGTGTGAAAGAAGTTCAACGATAGCAGTTACTCGAATTTGGGGGTGGAACCCAGTAAACACGCAACGTTGGGCAGACACTGGGCCAACGATGACTTCAACCTTTCATGTTTACTGGGGGGGGGGAGGTGTGGGGGGGGGTGTCGGCAGAATCAAACTACGGCGGCTGTCTGTTCGGGTCATCCATGAGTGTTTCGCTGGTGACGTGAGCAATATACGAGTTTGGTGAATCTGGGGCTTGGAGCGTGCGGTCGTTCAGGAGTTCCGAGCGAGGTGTTTGGTGACACGGGCGCGGTGGCGAGATGCGGTGGGTGGTGGTGGTGGTGGGGATGCATCGCGTGGTCCCAACGCGGCGCGCACGCACGGACGCAGAGAGACCCTCACGCGCGCGCCGTGAAAGCTGCACGGAGAAACCCGTGAAGTCCACCCCGAAGGAGAATGCTTTGAATGAAAGCGACGCACGGAACTCCCAGGACACAACACGGCCTCTGTCTCATCGTCATCGGGCTGGCTTCAACCTCCAACTCTGGAAAGTGATCGCTTTGTCGAGTGACCGATCTCGTCAAGGATGGAGCGTGTGGGGAAAGTGCTTCCCCCCCTCCTGTGTACAATTTATGAAGTGGGCCACAATTAGTTTTAGTTTTTGGGTTAGATCGTGAGCCTATCAACCAAAATGGAGGAATGTTGAAAGGCGAGCAACATT